CACCATTCTTCCACATCTTGTCTCATACCTATCCAGTAAAATGTTTGTCGTAGGTAACTCAATGTCTTCTTAACTCCGAGATGTCCTCCTGTTAAACTATCATGGGACTGACGCAGTACAACTTCCCGTAACTTTCTCGGTATAACTGTTTGCCAGGTCGTCACATTCCCATCTGCAGTTTCCCATCACCGGACATGAATACTATCTTCAAGCTTCAACTGGTCCCATTATGCCCAATAGTTCCTTATCACAGGGCTTAAGCTAGACACCTTCTCCCAAGCCGGCCTCAAAACACTTGCTTGTAGAAAATCAATTATTGGCTTCAAATCTTGGGCTTTCTCCTGTTCTGCTTTAATATATATACTTGGTTCCACTTCACCATCATCAGCTCCTTCTGTCACTTTGACTTTAGCTTGATGGCACCTGGTTAGTCCAACCTCTCTTTTAACACTTACCAGAATTTTGCCTTTGTTGTTCCCAAAGGTCATTTTATCACAGTTAACTACACAGTTCCTCGGTAGTAAGTAATACAATCTCAATATGCATGGGTCTTCAATGTCAGCCAAGTATACTTTTCTGTCCTTTATGTCCATGAGGTAAAAAGTTACCTACACTGGTCCCCACAACCTTTTATAGTGTCCTGTCACACCACAGAGCTTCTGTATGGCTTCTGGTACTCCTTTGTGATATAGCACCTTGATACTCACAAGGGTTTGCTGAGATGCAGAATCTATGACAAAGTTGCACTTTTAGACATCTATGCATACATAATATCCTTATACAAGTTATCATAAAAATTTTAAATTAAACTGATGTCATTGTTGTTTGGATGTTTATAAATGTTTGCTTTATAATTTATAGAGGTCACTGTATATCGCAAGGAAGTCGGATATTTCAGTGTTTTGTCGGTTAAGTAATTATTGTTGTGAAATTAAAATTGTGAAAGCCGAAGATCCTGTTGAGGTATAAAAGTAAAGCATTTTAAATAATAATATAATAATGCTTTAATTGTATTAAATATTAAGTAATGTGTTGTAATGTTGAGCGGGTTCTTTTTTGGATTATTTGGTAAAATTAATTCAAAGTATACTATACTATAGTCCACAACACAAGTTTATGGAAGCATTAAGTCGGATTAACTTTCTTGAATTGTTTTACTATTAGTTTACACAATCAACAGCTACTCGGTAATTAGTATACTGAATTATACTTCATTCAGTCACTGAACTAATGTTTATTCTTATTTATATTTAATATTACATATAATTTAAGGATAACAATGAACTCGTTGGATAATTTAGACTGTTCCATTCACTAAACTAACATAAAAATAAAACGCCCAAAGCCAGTCTTTATCATTCAGATATTTATCAAGCCTTCCTTTAAACTTCCTTAAATTAACTGCATCCACCACATCTAAAAGCAACTACCCTATAATGTTATAGTAAAGCTGTCTTAACTAAGATGACTCCTACCCTGCCAAAATTCATATTTATGTCCCCTAGTCATGTCATTTTTACTATTAAGTATGAAAAAGATGATGCATATCAACACTACCAGTTTCCTTAAACACAGTCAGATCCTCTATAACTCTTCTTTTTTCATGAGAAAACAATTTCAGAGGTCATAAACTGGCCTCTTATGACAACCTTTCATCCCAGGTATCAGTGTACTCATAGTAGCCATAATGAGCTCATGCTTTGACATTAGTAGAAGTTGTTTCATCATAAACTTTCTGGGTTTTTTAGCACTTGTGATCAATGTATTTGATGTTAACATCATGTGCATTCCAAGTTCTAGCAAACATCCAAATGAAAACAATAGAAATATAGTTTACAACAATGCTAATAGTAATACTGTACAGTGTAGTGTAGTAGTGTTACAGAACAATGGTAATTTTTATCAGGTGGTAACTATAATAATTCTAAATGTTATTATTTTTAGTAATTATTATAACACCTTTAAAAATATAGAATATTCACCATTTATAGCTGTTATGAGATAATGCTTTCATTAATATAATGACATTGTGAAAGGAACTATCCTCATGGGCTTTTAACTAACCAAAAAATTGGGGGTGGGGGTCCAAGTACCCAATAATGTATGTTACTAATATTGATACACCAATAAAAATAAAACGTCCATTTGTTAGGTCGAATACGGCTAGACACACTTAAAAGTTGCACATGTTCTGACAAAGCAAGTAATGGGTTTACAATGAGAGGTCTATAGTGTAGCTCAAAATGTCGTTCTATATATGTATCTATATCTGTGTTTAATATACAAAACAATGTATGCAGTACATGTAACATAGTCTTTATAGTGAAAACAGTATATGTGGGGTAAGTGAACAACTGTCTTCACCAATGAACAGCAAAGTAATTCCAGAAATGATGACATTAACCTGACTAACTTCACTATTTCTGACTGAACCAACAGCACCATGAAGTCAAAGACCATGAGAAGCTGCTGTGCTCTGGTGCTTGCTCGTGTTTCAGAAATGATACAACTTGATTGACTTCATTCATTCTGACCCAACATCAGGTCACTAAGATTCTGCTGTGCCACGATTTTATGAAGCTTTCTCTTGACAAGCTTTAGAG